ACCTCACATTCTTGTTCCCTTTTCTCTCTTTCTATTTCTCTCTCTCTGTGCTAGGAGGGACCTTGTGGGTGAAGAGGTGCTGACAAGGCTGGGAAACAACACTGGTACTTCTGCAGAGAGCTTGTTGCTGGCTCTAGGGCTGAGGCAGTGACAGAGGAATAGAAGGATAAGCATTGTGAGAGGGAACTGGAGCCTTTCTTGCTAAGCTTTTTGTTTAGGGGAAGTTCATTAGCTTCTTTTGCCAGTGAGGGAGCAAGCCAGCTTGGGCAGCTGGAAGAACTTCCCACCCTCTCCTTTCTCCCCTAGGGAAGGAAGGCATCGGGCTTTGGAGCTGTGATAAGGTGTGAAAGACTCTTCTACTGGCTCTGCTGCTGCATGGTTTTATATCTGTGGGGCAAAAGGCTTCATTAGCACACACACCTTGTGGTACATGTGCCACTAAAAGATGTGTCCCTCTTTCAGGAGAAAGCTCCTCTCAGCAAGACTCTGGAGAAGACCCTTTACTCCGACTCTGCCCACCACTGCCATGGTGATTTCCTTTGCACTGTGAGGGAGAACATGTCCTGCAGTTCTGGACAAGCTCCACATCTGCACCCTACTGTGGGCCATAGTTCTGTGCAGGTGAGTGCCAAAGAGCTCATTGGCCCCTTTCTCTGGGGTGCCTGTGTCCCCATGGCTCTTCTCCCTCTGCCTCATCTCCCCTGTTCAACCATCTACCACCACCTCCTTCACTCACTAGGCTTTTATTTCTTTTCTTTTGAAGTTTCCTTGCTGCCTTTTCAGTCAGGCTGTTGGAACCTATCTCCCATCATCATCTGCATCTACAGCCCCCTATGTAAGCACCTCAGAGCACCCTTGCCCTCTACTTCCTTGGTTGTGACAGCCCAAAGGTGACTCTGAACAGTCACTGCAAACCACAGAAACATTGCTCCTGCAGGATCTGGTGTCCCTGAAAGGTTACAGTGCTGTTTGCCATGTTCCATTGCAGGGACACAGTTGCTGAGCTTTGACTGTTCTCACACAGAGTTTGGCATAGGTCTGTACAATCCAGGCAACAAATACAGGTGAAACAAAACCTATGGACCGTATCCCTGCAGGTGTAAATGGGCTGAGCTTGGCCAAGTCATGCTGGTTTACACTGGCATGACTTATCCAGCACTTACCCAGCACTCCTCACAGCAGGTGGAAAGGCACCTGTTTCACTGGGTGGCAACAACAGTACTAATTTTGAACAGCTTTGTGTAAACTTTGTGACCTGCTCAGAACATTCACCTGGGGTGGGAAGCTCAGTGACAGGTGGAGACACACAAGAGGCTACCTTGTCTTAAAGGTGTTCTAGTTCAGCCAGCTGTGCACCTCAACCCGTGCTTTTCCCTGGGAATGATGTGTGTGAAAACGAGCCGTCTTGTCCCTCCCTTGGGCATGTACATGCAGTTGAGGTCTTGGAATGTGTGGGCTTGAAAGCTGTTTTGGCGTGTTCTACTCTAACTGTATCTCAGATCTTTCTCCTGCTGCTGCACCACCGTGTGCCTTTTTTTTTTTCCTCCTCTTATTTAAGCCTCCTTACTTCCAAAAAGCTCGGTTTTTCACCCGCTCCTCTCTGTGGGGGGAAGTAGCTCCTTTGGGAGCTTCGAGATGAGGCTGAGATCATGTGAGGCTGAACATTCCTGTCCTGCTTCTGCTGCAGACGGCTCCCGCTGCTGCTCCGTGTGCTGTAGAGTCTGGTGCTCACGCCCTCGGCGCTCCGCGGCAGCTCCTTCAGGGACCTGCTCAGCTGCTTCCCTTTGCTGTGGAACATCTCACGCTTGTAGGTGCTGCTGCTCACGGGAGTGCAGCTCTTGGGCAGTGGCTGCAAGGCGTGGTCTGTCCTCTCTGGTTCTGAGGTGAAGTTCACAGGCCTAAGGAAGCAAATATCCAAGCTGGACTCAGAAGAGGCCGGGGAGCAGTTCTCGAAGAGAGCAAGGTTTTGGAAGGTGTCATCTTCGTAGGGGCCTGGCATGGTGAAAACCTCCCCAGGGTAGTCAAACTCTTCGTAGCTTGGTGCAAAGTTCCTGGCATCCTGCAGCAGTTCCACAGAGCTTCTGATGGCTCTCTCGGTGTTCCCCACCGCGTCAGCCGGTGGCGCTTCGTACTCCATTTCGGGGATGGATTGCAAGGGGGCTGTCAAGGCCTTGAGTTCCTGCTCTGTCAGCTGAGAGGAGGCAAGGATGTTCTCTGGCCTCTCGTGTTTTCTGCTTTCCATCTCCCAGTCAGGGGACTTTACAGCCTGGATGTTCTCCATCACCGTCGGCTGGGGTTTCTTCATCTGCGGCATCAAATGCCTTAGAAATAAAAACCAAAACGAAAAAACAGACAGAAGTTGAATACTAAAGGATGACAGAGACAGCATGACAAATTCCCCCCACCCATTCACTCCCCTAACCCTATTGTGTTGATTTTATGGCCAAAAGGTACTCTCTTTTCTTAGAGAACAGTAACAGAGGTATCTCTTGCAGAAATGACCTGGCTGGTTATGAACTTTGTCTGACTTTTGCATTCTACAGCATGAAATGAATAGAAACTGAGATCAGGAGCTAACTGCTCCATCTCTCTCCTGCTCATCTGCATTTCAGTTTCTAACTTTCCTTCTCTCTCTGTAATGTAGGAGCCACGCCTCACTTTCCTGTGGTTTCAGGTGGACTGGGTTTCTCTCTTGGGTAAAGTGACTCTGTCCCCAAAATGTGTCAGGAGTACTTGGAAGGCTCCTACTCTGCTTGTGTTCCAGCTGAGTCTTCAGTTCATGATGAATCTGAGGGTGGTGCCAGCTGAGGCTAACAAGGTGGAGGCCTGGAGCAAAATTCAGCAGCTCTTGTCTGTGAGAGGAGGGAGATTGGCTTGGGCAGTCTGGGGAGAAGGAGGCTAAAGACTGATCTATAACACTGCTAACAGAAGGGGACTGGGAATGATGCAGCCAAACTCTTGTTAGTATCAAACGAGATTAGCCACAAATTGCTGGCATAAGAGTAAAAGTCAGTCTAGTGTGCTTCTCTGATCATCAACTCATTTGGCACCTGTCAGGCTGGAAATGGCTAAAGGGGAACCATATGAGGAGTGGTGAGGTCACTTAGTCTGTTCAACCTGGAGGACACCGAGGGGAGACCTCGCTGCAGCTACAGCTTCCTCAGGAGGGACAGCAGAGGGGCAGGCACTGATCTCTCCTCTCTGGTGACCGGACCTGAGGGAACGGTGTGAAGTTGTGTCAGGGGAGACTCAGATTGTATATTAGGAAAAGTTTCTTCTCCCAGGGAGTGGTTGAGCACTGAACAGACTCCCCAGAGCAGTGGTCACAGCACCAGAGCTGTGACCAGAGCTTGACAGAGTTCAAGGGGTGTTTGCCCAAAGCTCTCAGGCACATGGTGTGACTCTTGAGGATGGTTCTGTGCAAGGCCAGGAGTTGGACTCCATGATTCTTGTCCTTTCCAACTCAGAGTATTTTGTGATTCTGTGAAGATTTCCAGGTGTTACCAGTAGCTCTGTCAGTCTTGACTTAGTCCTGTGTCTTTTTGAACCCATTTTGTACTGGTACCTTCTGATAGCAAATCACATCATCCAGTTATGTGCTGTGTGGAAAAGCATTTTTTCTCCCTGCTCTGAGACCTTGGTCCCGTTTCCCAGCTCTTGTAATGATGACAGTGTATAATGTGGAGTGTTACTGTGCACACCACTGTCAGGCCTAAACAAATCCACGTCCTGCCTGACATATTGCCTTAGCAGGCAGAGCTCTGAAACATTCCCTGCTCATAAACCACACGGCAGGGGACAGCAGGATGGAGCCAGCCCTTCATCTCTCTATTCATATACAGGGAGTGGTTTTGGAAGTGACAGCCTGTAGCTGCCTGGTGTCACTGGTATGGGGTGGGTGAGGAGAGAGTTTTCAGCCTACTTTGAAAGCTGCCCACAAGGACACCAGGCTTACGGGGTGGTTGTGCCCGAGGAAGGTGCTGCTGGGAATGACTGGATGGCCTCTTCGGTGTGGATCCCACTGTCCCGCATTGATGCTGCACTGGGCGTTGGAGAAACCTCCTGGCTGGTACACTGGGAGGCGAGACCTTTGTACAGCTTCACCAGGGATGACCTGAGGGAGGAGAAATCCATCGTCGGGCTAAGAAATAAGGCAGGGAATAAGCACAAGCGTGTAGAATCACAGAAAACAGGACTGGGAGGGACCTCAATATTCCTGTTCAGCTCTGCCCACCCCAAGGAAGAGCCTGTTCCACCTAGTCTGCTCCAGCCAGCAGGGCATCCTGCTTTCTGTGGTGTTCTTAACACCTCTCCTGATTGCAGTCCCTCCCCAGCAATCTGCTCCAGCCCTTTACCACCCTCCATATTTGGAAGCTTCCCTTGAAATTTGATCTTGTCCTACTCCTCAGGAAGATCATCACAAGGAGCAAAGGCAAGCAGATTCTGATTTTAGTAAAAAGCCTTGATTTCAAGGAATTGTTCTGAACTGCAACTTGAGAATCTACATTCAGGGTAATTTTTGTCATAGTTCCGTTCAAATACGTTTTTGAGGCTTTTGTTTCTCCTACCTCCTCCCCCAGTAAAATAAAATGACACAGTTCTTTTGGAGTCTCAGCCTCACCAGGGCCTGGAGCTGCCAGAGCTAAATCCCCGTGTGTTTTCCCATTGGGGAGTGACTTTGCCACCAGCTTAAGGAATCAAATTATTCCATGAAACATGTGGCTGCTTTATTTAGAAGGATTTAGAAGTGATTTTTCTTTCACTCTCAGAGTTAGGCAGAAGGGCCCACTCCAAATCTGACCTCAGTATGGAGGGCAAATGCCAATAGTGGTTCTTCTCCAGCATTCAGATGCAAAGGGCTTTGTTTTATTCAGCAGACCAGTGTGACTGTTGATCTTGCGTGGACCTAAAACCCCTGTTTGCCAGGCTTCCCCCACCCCTCCCTTCCCTGGTGACAGAGAATGAGCTGATGTTGCACTTACTTCTTCAGCTTTTTCCTCTTCTGTATCAGCAGGTCTTCGTTGCATTGGAAGAGGAGGCTGTAGTGTGAGATGAAAACCCGGAGGCGCTGCACGCACACCAGCAGCAGGTAATAGTCAGGGTGCTCCTGCTCCGTGAACTTCAGGACATTCTGAGGCACAGAGGAGAGCAGGCTGTTTGGAGGCTGTCCTGCCCCTTTCTGGGAAGAAGGCACTATTGGAACCATGGATTAGGGCTCTGGAGTGTTCATGGCTCTGCCCTGGGGGAGCTTTGCTAGGCACCGTGAGTTTCTGAGGGACTTGAATGGGGCCTGCCTCCCGCTAGGAACCACTGTAAATTTAATCACTGTTTGTGTGGGTGATGCACTTAGGGTGAATAAACCAATGTTTTGATTTTCTAGGGCTTGCTTTCTATGTATTTGCCTTGTCTGAAATGTTTCTGTACAATTCAGATAAGCCTTCTGTGAACCAGAACTCTTTTTATCAGTCATCTCTCTGTAGGACAGGTTGTTGAGCCCTAGGAGGCCTCTCAGATGTGTCCCATCTCTGACCTCCTGTTTTCCCAGAGCAGCAGACAGCAGAGCCTTTGGCTTCCCCGGGAACAAAAGCTGTTTCTGTCAGGCCAGTTGGAGAAACTAGCAAATATAAGCAAGCCTAGTGAAAAAGATGAAACTTAACCTATTGTTAGCTGGCTTTCCCTTTGAATTTTTTTTTTTTTCTTCAAAGAACCCACTGGGTTTGTCAGGACCCTGTACAGGCCCAAATGCCAGCTCTCAGTTAAACGTCACCTGATGTGATTAGAGTTCAACAACACAGTTTCCATCCTGGGGCCCTACCTGTAGGTGAATAAGGTATTCAGGGATTCGCTGGACTATATGAAAGAACAGAATGTAGAGATCAGACTTGATTTCTTCTTCTACCTGAAATAGAGAAAAATTACTTAAGAGTCTTTTCCACCCATAAAACACATCTCCTTCCAGATGGTTCTGTGGTTTAGTGAGTAGTTATGCTGTAAGGAGCTATAACAGTTCACAGGGGCACACCAGACATTTAGGCTGGGGATTATCTAATAGGGACACGCAGTTTAACAAAGTAGGTGGGTATGTTGAAAGTGCACTAGTTAAGTTTCAGTGAAACCCCAAGAAGACACTGTTGCTCAGAATGAAGTTCTTAGTTTTGGCTAAAATTAATTGAACAAAATGAGATTAACTTCTAAATTAAAATATCTTGGAAGCAAGCAAATGAGGTTCAGCTGCTGCACTTTAAACTACTTTTATATTTAACTTTTCAAGTTTAAACCAAGAATCCAGAACCAAATAGCTGAATCTCAAAGTGAAGACTCTTTTCTCTATAAAGGACTCAATCCCTCTGTTTGGATGAGTCCTCCATTTTCCAGGGGACAGTTCCTGGAAAAGGTCTGGATAGCATGTGCATAGGTAAGCTTTTGGGAGTTTTAATCTGAGGCGTTGTCATGGCACAGCAGAAAAGCTGCTTTGGTTTCAGACAGCGAGGAAGGTGTTAAAGCTGCCTTTTGTAGATGCCAGTCAGCCATGGCAATCTCCAGGAAACAGAGCAAGTGGATTGGCAGGAGAGTCCTATCATGGGTAGGCATAACGGGAAGAGATCCAGGCTTGCATGGTGCAATGCTATGTGCTGGGAAGCAGGCAGGAAGTTTACCTCCTTCAGGATCACTACGTGGATCAGAGAGATGCATTCTGGCAGGTCCCTCAGGTAAGCAACGTAGTAGTCCAGAAAATTATTCTTACAAAAGAGAAAAAGAACACCCAAACTTAACAGAGATTTTTGGTCACAGAGCCAGCCAAAGTGTTAATTCCCCACCATCACTGCTGGATGGTCACCAGTGCAGCAGAGCTGCTGTTTCAGTCCTTCAGGGCTTGGAACTTCTCAGGAAAGTCTGTTTAATAAAATGTTCAGCTGTTGAGTACAGTGTGTAAAGCTTTACTGCAGGTGGTGAGGGGTAGAGAGGCTGGGCAGTAAGAAGCTCTTCTTATCTAAGACTCCTAAGATTTATAAAGTATCAGATGAGTATTTACACATCCTTGTTGCTCACCAGGGCAACAGAACTGGGTGCAACAAGCCAGGTAGGCCTGTGCCTGCCCAGCTGCTTGTCAGAGCTCTGAGCAAGGTGTACTGGGGCAGGGGAGCATCAGATCCCCTCTCTTTTCACACCGTTACTGGAAATACAGCCATTCAAGCTGTCAAGGCTCACATCTGGCTCCTGCAAGCAGGTCTGGGTGTCATGTAGTTTATGGAGCTGTGCTATGAGGCTGCTTACCCACAGTGGGTCTGGCATGTGGGATCCCTGAACACCAAAGGGGCTGCCATGCCCCAGGACTGTGCTCTAGGGGGGCTTGCTGAAAGCCTTGCCCTTCAGGCCACAACTGCGTAGCAAAGCCTCTCCGTTCAAGGTGTCTTGGTCTACCTGTGCCTCAACAAAACATCATGAAACATGACAGAAGATTCTGGAGAGGTCTTTAACATACCTCATCGTTTGTTAGCTTCAGGAAGATGTCTCCTAGGATCCCTTGTCGTGGCCAGCTCAGGACTCTCTCCTGGAGAGCATGCAGTAAATCCACGTGCTGCTGCACCAGGAACCGCAAAGAGTTGGGGAAAAAGCTGACAGGAGACCAAGTCAGTCTGGTAACACAGAGCAAAACCTCATCCCCAATAAGTGAATACTGCTGAAGTGGGCATTCCTGAGTGGTCAGCACAGCCTTGCACATGCAATATTGACTGCACCTATTATTGCTACTCTAGCACAGGTGTTACTGACTCCTGTGGTTGGAGTCCTGGCTGCATCTGGGGATCCTGTTTTGGCTGCTGTGTACATGCAAGTGCCCTCTCCAGCTGGCTATTGATGAAGTGTTTTGAAAGCTCCTTAGGCTTTCCTTGCAATGCATTGAGTAGCTGACCAGAATTAGCAGCACAGGCAGCCCCAGGCAATGCTGCTGTGGCCGATGATGCAGGACCATGGCCCTGAGCCATCCCACTGAGAGCTTGGAGGAGAGCTCCCCAGCTTTCTCTGTTTCACAAGACAACCCACTGATGCAGAGCTGGTCAAAATGTGCTAGTGCCTTTCTGCCACTTCATGTTGATTTCACCCAGAATCAGAACGAAGACGGTGGACAATGTGCAAGGAACAGGCAGGGATGTCTTTAATGACTGCAAAAACCTCCCAGTGCCTCCAGTTTTCAACTAGAAATAAAGTGTTCAACGATCTCCGTGTGGATGTAAGAAAAGTGTGTGAGGGGATAATGCAGAAGTAATATTGACTGAAGAAAGCTCTCCAAAAGACAAAGAGCATGTTACATCAAATACCTTCTCTCTTTGGTGCTTCTTTTCACATCTGGCCCCTGCAGTGTGGCCTTGATCTTCAGGATTAGGGAAAGGTTGATGACATACTTCCTTTCTGACTCCAGCAGCTCCAAGGCGATGTTCTGCCTTTTAGCTTCCAGAAGATAATGGTTAAGTTTAAAAATAAGGAAATACTGACCTCAAGGACAGCTGCATATTAGACTGGTGAAGTGATCATGAAAGGAGAAACTTGTTTAAAAATTGTATTAATGTCTCATCGTTTTGTGTCTTCTTTACCCAAAATGTAAAACTCCACCCTGATGCTACAGCATGCCCCAGACATGACCAGTGCCTCAGTTTGCTAAGAAAGTTCCAAAGTAGATGTGTTTCCCCCATGAATACAAAATTTTTCTAAGAATAACAAAGCAAGCAATCAAAGGCAAAACAACTCATATCAGGGTTTCCCATCCTGAGTAAACCCTGCAGAATGAGAAGTTGTATTTTTCATGCACTTAAGCAACTACTCTGCTGCAATCCCTTCAGTACTCTGAACCTGACAGGTCTTGGAAAGGAGAGGGGCTGTCCTGGGTACAGAGTAGTTCTGTCAGTCACACAGCCCAACAAATACAAAGGCCAGAGGTCTTGCAGTGGAGTGTGAGGCCCTGAGAGATTCCCCCCAGCAGCAGAAACTGGCCTGTGTGTCTCCCTCCATGGATGCTGATGACCAGCCAGCTCACACCAGCTTTGAGCCTCTCTAGCCAGAGTTTTCTACTCCTTACCAGCCAAAGAGGGCTCACATATTATGTTGTCTGCTGAGCTGTATCTGCTTTGGCCCATGTCTTTCCCTCTCTCTGGTTGCTCTTTGGAAATGTATTCATCTCCCCAGTCCTTGGTGTCCTTGGGCTGCTTCCAAACTGTTGATGGCAGATGCATTTTCGACTGCCCCTCTGTTGCCAGGGAAGGCTTGAGGCTGTCATCTGTCTCCATGGCTGCCCCTGCAATGACAGACAGGTCAATGGACTCTGACATCTCAGCATCTCTCTGACCAGGTTATGGTGCTTCCATCCATTTGAAGCACTGGAAGGTGAATTTGGAGTATTCTTTGTGCTTCACAAGGGCTGTAGCCTTGTAGACTTAATTTACAAAGGAAGTGCAGTTGGTGAGCTCTTCAGCAGAACAAAGTTTGCACTCTTGCAGCATTTATTTTCAAGCCAATTAAGATCCAAAATTAGCTATATGTAGAGAAGCAGAAACACCTTCTTTTCCCAAAGGGGAAAAGTGGTGCTCTCACTATTCTTTGTTACATCAGGAAGCTTCAAATTTTCCTTTCTGCAAAGCACTTAGAATCTAAGAAAGCAATAGCAGAAAGTTTTTCTCTGCCAAACCCTTGGCACTGACTATTAGAGGCACTTCAGGAACACGGGTTTGCCCTCATATCTCAACTGCAAGCAGGAAAATAGAGGTATGGGGCAGAGTGAAAGACAACCCTATGAAATGCCTTCCCTGAAAGCATTTCTTCATTGCAGTAAAGCAAGCACTCTAATTGAATCATTGTCCCGCTGTCTTTGGACGCTTGATATTTTCTTACCTGGGCCTGCTATGACTTTCACACCTCCTTCTCCCATGGGCATGATCCTGGTGTCAGACACTGTTGAAGAACAAAGGGAACTTTAGCAACAGAAGGAAACTGTAGAGCTTGCTTCTTCCTGCCAAGCCCTGTCAGCAGGGTTAAATCCTCCAGTGAAAATCCTTTCACAGTTTTGCTATGAAAACATCCCTGTTGGACTGTCCAGTA